GCCTACTGTGTATGACATTGTTTATGGCATTTGCGGATACTCTTCAGTATCCGAAAATCATCCCAGTCGTGCTTTACTCTTACTGCAGGCGTATGATCATCCTTGACGGTGTGTTAACCGAAAGTTGGGAATAAACAATATTATCATTCATACGGAGCGGAAACAGGACAGGTGGATTGAGAGTTCGCGGATTGATGAATGAAGCATAATAAAGAGGCTTGTAAATGCGGAGCGGGGCCATATCGTGACGAGGCGGCGACGACTGTGGTGTGGCCTTTCAGACTATAAAGACGCTTTAACGCGCGTTTCTTTATAGTGAACGTGTCAGTGATAACAGATGCTATAATAAGCGGTAGGTGTACAGAAGTAGCAGGATTGAGTTACGCAAGACCGGAATGCCGGTAGTATATTTAAGTTAACAGAGAGAAAAGAATATGATATGGGCATAAACAGGACAAAATGTTCCGTTTTCTAGTGTCATCTGCACCGATTGTCGAGAGCAGGAGTACAGGTAGCCGTCCTTAGACGCGTGTTCCCATACCAAAATCCTTACATACTTTGGGGTCCACCTCATCAGACTGGCACTGTCCTTGGCATGATTTCGAATGAGACGTTTCTCTCTTTTCTCCCATATTCTGCTGTTACTCTTTCGCATTCATCGCTTGCACTCACTTTTGATGTTTGTGACCATGCTCTTCAAAAATAAATGATAATATGTAGTTGATAAAAACGCATAAAATCGGAGATGTAGAATAAGGATAAGGGACATGAACCAGCGAAGAAGCTATTGTTGTAATTGGTTCCTCTTGAAGGAAGAGCCAACCCCGTATGGCTTAAGAGGGATGATGCGTTCTGATAGTTGCAGTGAGTTTGGCTTTGAGAGGAAGAAGACAGAGGAAGATTAGAGGTTGCGGGGGTAGATCTCTCCGTGGCCTGGTGTTTTTTAAGGCGATTTTGGCATTTATAACCATTTGTTTGCCGTTTTGGTTTGGCCATGTTAGATGGTAATTAACAGATTGGCGGTGGTTCGAATGTAACGGGGCGTTGAAGGAAGAGCTTTTGCGAGCATTCATGGGAAGACTGTGGATGCTTTCGCGTAAGAGTTGTCAGAGACGAAGTTTCGCACAAACTAGCCATTTGAGTGTAGGATGCTCAAAGATCCTGGCAGTATATCTGCAGTAAGGCATTATCGGTTGGTCAGTTCGTCTTTGGCTGTCTAGTGGTGATCGTTGGTGGACCATTTATTGCTGTTTCTCACAAAACCTAACTGATACCTCTCAAATGAACCCGAACTTCATCTTCTTCGTCAAGGTTCCAATTTTCCCATAAAATCACATTTTTACTGGTTTACGAATATTCCGTCAACCCTTGTAGAAGAACAGACACTCGCATCTTAAACTTTGATGGTTGCTGCTTCTAATGCGGGGTGGTGGCACGCCTAGCGTAGCTTGTAGATTTTATGCTGCATCAATGCCCCTTGCTGCGTTTTGTTCGTCAAAAATTTATCTAATGAAAATTTTAAACGTTCAAGGATAGGTCCGATAATAACAGCTACTGATAAACTTATGATAGTTTTGCACCAGAGGGGTGGATGACGACAGAAGACATTTTCCGATAAGCCGGGAACACGATCGGTTGTTGGAACTAACACGTGTGGTTATAAACGGAGGCACCTTCACCGTTGCTTGCTGTCACGATGGTCGTCAGTCGCATAAATGAAATTCATTCTTACAATGGGCCACTCATGCGAAGAATACACTGAGTGCAACTTGTGTGCAGCACTGACGCCGAAGGAAGTTACGGAATCATTCGACATCCAGTCATGTTGAACGTAGATTGAGGTATGCGAACACTAGATTTCTTTATTTGCATTTTGTTTTCCAGTTGGAAGAAGGAAGAAAAGGTATGTACACAAACTATTAATATTGCATGCGGAGGCAAATTCCTGAGCAAATAACTCCTGTTTGTAATTCAGATGCACTAATTAAGACAGGATAGTTTCGGGCAGCTAATTTCAGACTAGATATTTTGGGGTTGCCAACAAACAAACAGTGCCCGTTGCAAAGAAAGGTGCATGCAACCTGTACATTTGCGGTTGCTGGTGACAATCAAAACGAGTGAAAATCACAGCAATAACCAGGAAAGGTTTGGGTTGATGCACCCTCGATCTGAGCCATATTAGACATCAGCCAATAAAGTAATAACCAGGAGACGGCGGCGGCGCTTGGTTAGATTAGATCACGTTTTGCGCATTTGCGTTTGGCTTAAGCCAGGTGTCCAAACCTAGGTGAGAGAACGTTGGCTCATTGATTGACAGCACTCTGGTGGAAGTTATCCCAGCAATGGCAGAGCTTTGTAAAATCTAAAGACCATTATATAGCACATACTGCAACCTACGAGCTGAAGAGCATAAAGACGGTCCGAGAGAACTCCACATATTGATAAACGCGGTAGCCAAGACCGTAGGACAGTCAGTTGATGATGCAGAGTGTGCCAATGAGCCACGCAAACGCTGTATATCCACCGGGTTAGACAACTCGCTAAGAAGCGTCGAGAGGTGTGAAAAATCGGTTTCCATAAATCGGCCGGAACATTCCGGGTCGGGTCTCGTTTCGTTTAGTTGCCTCTTTCTCTCATTGTCTCTCACAACTAGCGTCTTGAAGTAAAGTTAGTTTGTAGATACCCAGTCACCCACATGCTCACATTCGCTCACCGGATCACGAGGCTTGTCCTTTTTTATACTCGCAAACCACGTCATAGTAAGGTGGCTCATTGGACATCGATTGTCTGTACCGTCCAGTGAGCCCAGCAAAAACTCATGTGCTACCGCACCCACGTACACGCAAACGTGTCTGTACCGTCCAGTGGGCCCAGCAAAAACTTATGTGCTACCGCACCCACGTACACGCAAACGGACCGACATATAGGGAAACCGAACACAGTCGACACACAGATTCGAGCGTTTGGGGTGAAAGGAATCAGCCAAACACTCCAAGTTCACGAACAGTTATGGAGTACACGTAGCAGCCAAACTGCGGAAGAACCACATTCCCTCCGTTTGGACATTTATTAAGGGACTATCACACAAGATAAGTTCCCTTTTGACTTGCTCCACATTTTATATTGCCCTTTATGTCATACATGCTGCCAATGACTCCTGTAAACTGCTGTCAACCACACTAGAGACTGTTATTAGTGTACATATCTTCTGATTCGTATTATGGCCATCATCAACAGTGCACTAATAAATTATCGGCCTGACCAGAGTACTTGCTGGTTGAAGGGGTTTTTCAGATGATTGTGACATAATATTGGAAAAATTTGGCGCTTTCGAATTATGGAATTCCACCGCTCTCTGGCATTTGGATACTTGCATCCGATTTTTTTTGCCGATTTAATAAGACCTAAAACCCTCTCCTGTTTCACAGAGGCGCAAGCCCGTTCTCAAGATTTTATTACACATTTCGAGGTTTGGGTACATCACGTTGCATTATTCAAACAAGGCACATGCTCTCGCCGCGGTTTGCATGTGCGATTTCTGTGACAGCATTTTTCGGATTCTGCCAATGTTTTGATCACTTTATTGCTCGGCGTTGACCAGTGTACGCTGGACTATGGTTGTTTAGCAAAACAAAACAAAACGTATCCCTATAGCTCAATACGACAAAAAGAGGATTTCCATAAGATTTCAACGACGATCAGAGGTTCGTGACTTCAATGTGCAGTAAGTAAGTTTGCATTGTTTTCATTCGAGGTTTTGCACAAATCCATTCGATGCATACGCCACACGAGAGCATTTCATGCGAGACCACCTTGGAAATTTGTCCGTTTAGACAAACCACGAAGGGGACAGATCATAGCATAGGCAATTTATATAGAAACAAATGTGGGATTTTTGGCAAGCAAAACACCTCAGGTTTTGGACAGTTAATTTTTTCCTATCTTCTGAGTGATCGGCACCGTTCTGAAACCAACAAAACGACAGTACCTCTTTGTGGGTAGTATCACGAATCTGTGGTGGTTAACGGCCCTATGGAGTCTCTAATGAACAGAACAATTACCAATGTAAGCAAAATACAAAGTCACAAAGTAAAGGAATCCAAGTATATCTTGACTCACAGTTCAAAATAGAAGATTCCGTAGTTCCGTATACCGTTGAACCACCACACCAAGAATAGTTCTATCTCCCTGGTATTCCAGATCTCCGGTGATTGAAATATTAATCCACAAGTGTGAATATACTAGTCCAGTGTTTGCAGCTGAAATGTTTCTTCACGTTTAGTGTTAACGGCGGTCAAATATAGCCAACCGTCGGTCACGACAACGGTCACTCAGCAAAAGTCTCAAAGTCACGTTGGAGCCAACAAGCGGGCGGTAGCAGTTGCATTTCAGTAAAAAAGACTTTTGTACAGCGATGTGACTGATAAAGATGGGAAAAAAGAAGGTGAAACTGAGCATGAAAAGAGCAGTTTACAGGTGCTACAAATCGACGTGTTAACCAACAATTTAAGGCTAGGTAATGATATTTCAGCCTCTCATCAAACGAGAATAAATGTGGTTGGTAACACCATTGAGCTTTCTGTCCACAACTGTGAGGTCCCTCCATGTGGACTACAACTCTTAAAAGCATGAAAAATTTGCACTGTAGCAACCGTTCATCCGGCTGAAAAGTCTTGTGGGATGATTCCCAAGCATCGCCGAGACCTCATGATACCTAAGTGGGGCTGAGACGTTTGGACAGGTACTCTCAGCTTGAATGCCCGATTGCCTTAGTCCATCAGGGACACGTCATAATTTTCGAAAGTTCAACTTCATTGTGCGAATACTGAGAGCCACTTATGACCTCTGTCGCTGACCGATTTGAAAGCATTGGGTGAGGGCGCGTTTTTCAGACGCGTTCAGGGAACAGTCATAATTTTCGAAAGTTCAACTTCATTGTGCGAATACTGAGAGCCACTTATGACCTCTGTCGCTGACCGATTTGAAAGCATTGGGTGAGGGCGCGTTTTTCAGACGCGTTGTTTGACCCTGAAAAAGATGCTCACCGCCCTAATTGGGCGGACTATAATGTGTGTCACCTTCTCTCTCTATACTAATGCATGCTTAGAATACTTTTTGGTGTTTTGCATCCTTCATACAGAACGTACAAAGCCATCAAACGGCGGGATTACCAGGAAGTCGTGCGTCCATATTGTTACGCTGAAGGTATTGATTCCTAGGTTGTACTCGGGATGTATTGGGTTGTTTTCGGGTTGTTCACTACTGTGGAACTATTTACGGATATGTTCTTGCAATGGTAAGGGTGAATGAACTTTTAGAAGTTTCAGGTTTCCGTTCTACCATGAAATGAAAATTGTTTTTGTCATCTGGCTGGTTACTCCGGCGACATCAGGTTACAGTTTGATATACCGCCGACTCATTCATCCAGAACTGTCCAAACGAGAGAACGTAAATCCAGTTTGCTCTTCAAACTCTTCAGGAAATTGATGATGCCATTAGTAAGGCCACCGAGAAAGGTTACACAAAGGTCGTTGAATTTGGGGCGAAGGGTCTTAATTATGCTGCGAAAACGTTTATTACTACTGCCTTGATGGTGAGTAATGTTCTCCCTCCGAATACTCCGTACTTTTATGTGCCAGTGTCCCGTAAACTTATTCATATGGCTATGAACATGTCTTGGCTTACGTGCATTATTGTCAGTTGTATTCGATCTGTCAAAAGCGACTCACTTAAAAAACAGCTTATCACAATCTGTCCAATACCCCATCACGAAAGTATGGAGGGGTGGTAAAACATTTTAGCTCGAGGATGAGCTGAGGAAGTTAAACTGGTTATTACACGTTCGTTCGGCGTATTCCCCGTATGAGCACGCTGGTTCTAGTGGCCGCAGTTCTAGCTGACGATGGGGAAAAATGGGATTCAGGACGACAGCGGTTGAGAGTTGGAAGTGATGATTCTAAGGAAAGTGAGGTTGGTTGACTGCACTCACTGCTTATCTTTTTTGGCGCAGATGTGAAAATCCAGTACTCGCTACTTATCTGCTAGGGAATCCACGGGATCCTTTATGCGTAGTGACTTATAACGTCCGTACTCTATGTCATACTGTCAAACAAGCAATGCTCACTGAAGCCTTTTACTCCCTCAAGATTGATACATGATACCTGATACTCCGAAACGCGCATACATGACCCAAGCGTGGTTATGCATCTCAAAATGCCATGAACAAACAGCTGTTTCACATTCCTCCCTCAGTTTGTCCGGTGATCTAGAAGCGATGGTTCGTGGAATATATGGCGTGAGAGTCTCAGTCAGCCCTAGAGCTGAATGCGTTTTGCTGGCTTGGAGCCCAGTGAACAGTCGCCTCTCAACCTTCCTGTTGTCCAGGTCAATCAACCTCAAAGCCTCTCATCATCATCATCATCAATGACAGCAACATCAGTGATGCCACTGATGCTTAACTGCCGCACAACCATAAAGTTCGTTTAGTTATATATACAT